CCCCCCCCTCTCTTCTTCCCCACTTCCCTTATCCCACCTGCACCCAGGAAAATCAGAAAAGCAAAAACAACACCAAAACAAACCAGGGCATGCACACCCGTTCTCCCCTTTCTCCACCTGCACGCAAAAATAACCAAAGCAAAACCAACACCAAAACCAAACAAAGGAGGGGTGAAAAGCGCGCACACACACCTGCGCTCACACACACACTCACACACGCACACACACACAAACACACACACACACACACACACACACACACACACACACACACACATGCACTCACACACACTCACACACGACTCACACGCGCACTCACGCACGCAAGCGCATGCACACACACCCATTGACACCCTCTATACACTCACACACCCACTCACACACGCAAGCGCATGCACGCCCACCCATCGACACCCTCTACACACATACACACACACACACACACACACACACACACACGACTCACACACGCTCTCACACACGCAAGCGCATGCACGCACACCCATCGACAACCTCTACACACTCGCACACACACACACACACACACACACCAGGTACGCACACGAGCGCACACGCAAATAGAAAAAGTCAAAGAAAGCAGCAAGGCACATACCTGGCCACTGGCTTAGCGGTGCACGCCTATACACCCCTATTGATCAATACTTCAAGAGTTCACATCCTGCACCCCTATGGATCACAACTGCAATAACTTCAGGAGGTGCCCCCTCTCTTTTGAGAAAAAAAGAAGCCGCAATCTACAGGTTCCCCCTGACAACAGAGTTACACCATCACAGCAAATGGCACTTGCCACTTGGAAGCAGTTAGCAAACTTAGGGAGTGAAAATGAAGAGTTCAGTCCATAACTTCATAGTACACTGATCTCCTGGGGCGAGGTCCCACTAGCAACGGGATAGGATAGAAACGAGTTTGTGGGGCAGTTGAGTGACCCAAATCCTGCCGTGCAGTACTCGTGATCCCACGGTCAGTATTTTACATGCATTTTATTACCCCAAAAAGTAAGGATATCTTTGTTCCCCTCCTCCTCTCCTTAACACTGGGCATGCCCATGCAAAGAAAGCTTCCTGCCAGAATCTTTTCAATCGGCTGGGGGTGTGGCCAACCCCAAAAGAGGGTGGGGTCGGCCATCAGCCCACTGGATAAAAGATTTTCGGTATTTTACTTGCTGTTGTGCAATTATTTCATTGGGTGGAGCCCCCTCCTTCAATCACGGAGTATATGGAGGGTGTCAGGATCACTGCTGACAGAAGTCGAGTTTATTCCAGAAAATGTGGCGGTTACTTTGTTCACTGTCGACGCAACCACCACCATCAGATCATTTGTGATCTGATCTGATGGTGGGGAACCACTCTGCGGCCGTGATTTCCGGTGGGAGGTCTCTGTTTCTTCTTCTTCTTTTTTTTTTTTTTGCCTTTCTCCTGTTTTCTCAGCCCAGAAATTTGTAATGAACCTTCCCATTTCTTTGCTTCGCTTTGTGGCATTTGATCTCCTACTTGTCTCGCCCTCTGCTCCTCTCTGCATACCACACAACGGATGTCCGTATACCACACGACGACCATCCGTTGCGTTGCAACTGTGTGGCGACAACTTTCAACAACTGTTCACAAAGATAATAATGATCTATTGCAGACTCCTCCGGTACATGTAAGTGCTTTCGTTTGCCGCCTCACTTTGCAGCACCTGATCTCCTTCATTTCTCCTCCCCCCCCTCCTCCCTCCCACCCCTCTCCTGGATTCGAATGACCATTCATTGCAACTGCAGCAATACCAGTCATCTGTTATTCACGAAGACAATGACCTACCACACAGTCCCGGTACATGTGCGCCCTCCTCTCCTCTCCTTTCCCTCACTCCCTGCCATCTCCTCCTCCCTCCTCCGTACCTCCGGTCAGTTCCGCTACCTCGCACCTTCTTCCCCTTACCCTGCGTGTAAACCTCCTCCAGGCCCATGTGTACCCTTTCCTTTTCTTCAACTTCCGAGCAACTCACTCGCTGTCGCAAGAACGATCGACCGGTGTGCATGAAGACAATGATCTATCACACAGTTCGGTCCATGGGTACGCTTTCCGTTTCTTCAGTACCTGCAGTCTTCTCCCTCGACCATACCTCCGCTCTTTTCCTCTACCAGTTTCTGTGAAAAATCCGCCAAAATTCGCCGAATTTTGGGCCTTCCACTAACCGCTTCTCTCTTCCCCTCCCCTCCCCTTCCGTGCGAGTAAAGCCCCCTCCACACCCATGGCTTGGATTTCAAGCAACTCGCTCGCTCGCTCGTTCGTTCTAGGAATCCATCAGTTCCTTGAGATCCCTTTCCCAGTGAGATGGTTCAATTACCCTTTTTTTTGTCCTCCTTTGTCTCAGTCTGTCGCTTCCGACCACCCACCCGCCCACTCTCCCGAAGAGTTAAAGTTTCAGCATTGTACAGGATTTGAACCTGTGACCTTTCAACTTAGAAGGCTGTTTCTCTTTTTGCCCAAACACATACTACTTTACCGCAAAACATCCGTTGCGAAAACCCAATAACCATAGTGTCAAACGGAAAAAAAAAAAAAAAAAAAAAAAAAAAAAAAAAAAAAAA